AATCTCTCGACGAGGCTCTTCATATAATCACGATCGAACTTCACTTACAGGTAAGTTCGTTTCATCGTACAATATTACTAAGGTGAATTTTTGTATTAGGCTATCTGCGCTTGAAAAGAAAAAAGAAAAAATTAAAAAATTAAAAGAGGATTCATTTGTATCGAGTAACGTAATGAGAAAGAAAAAAAACAAGCGCACTTCTAAATTGTTAATGAGTTTGATCTATCATCATTTGAATTTTGGCTTCGATTCTGTAGTGAGTTCCACATTCGAAAGCCAAAATTCTCTTATTAATTGCAATATTTGTACTGTGATCATTGATAATACTGAATTACTTCATCAGTTCAATTCGAATATTCTTAGTGTCAAAAAAAAAAATTATGAGCTATATATGAGGAAAAAAAAATTTATGGAGGCCTGAAGTTGTGTCTTCAGACTCTGTTCGGAGCTCCATTTTTATTTTTATTGAATTCTTTGTAAATTGAGTATCTGGCATTTAGTTCAGGAATGAATTTGTCATTTTGGTCCAGCCACCAAAATTCTTTTCTAACTCGATAAAAATCCTCCATATCAGTTTCTGCGGCATTCAGCAATTTCCTCATTATTGCGATATTCTATCGGCAATTTCTCCCAAATTTCTTTAGTGTCACTGGAGGCAAACTTGAGGATGAACTCCTTCGGAAAGAAGGCGATATCTTCAGCGGACATTGTTTTAAGACTGTTTAATTGACAATAAATTTTTAAAGCACGACTGAGAGATGGCGTGCAATTTTTCAGGAACCAAAACTTCAAATTCTCCACATTTTTACGAGCACAAGTGAAATGTGATGTATACTCATCATTGTGATGATGACACACTGAAAAATCCAGTGACGATAATTTAGGGCACTTGAAATCCTCCAGATTTATCACAGGTTTTGAGGAGTTGATTATCTCATCTAGAAACTTTTGTTTCTATTCTCCCTTGACGTATATAGTAGTGACGTTTTTTATAATTCTCTGAATCCCTTTTTTCATGTCTACGTATGGTGTGTCATCACTATTCTACGGAATCCCATGAAAATGCTCTATCAACCATGAGTTGATGTTCTATGATTTCTTAGGGAGTGCACCCCAAGAATAAGGGATGCAAAAAGGATCCACTCTAGTCCTTGGTATCCATTGTCGCTGGTATTGACATGTACGTATGCCAATTCTTTCACAATGAATTCATCGAATACACCCCGAAAGCCTTGAATGTCAATAATCACTTCCATGCCTCTCGGAATTCAATATGTGTTGATTTGATAGACTGTCGAATTACAATTGAAATTTTTTGGGGAGGATCGTGCCTTTTATAGTCTAACGATATGACGCACTTTTTGTGCTGGAATGGACAAATTGTGTCTTTGGAATAAACAACCCGAACACTTTGAAGGGATAAACAATTCCCGGAAAAATGTCTCAAGTACGTCTAGAAGGATCCATGGAGTGTAATCCTTCTCCAAATTAATGGTGTAATAGTTATAGATTATCGTTCAATATCAGAATTCATTCTCTCATGTAATTTCATTTTTCATTTTATTTCAGTATCGGTTGAACGACATTTTGGTAACGTATCGAAAAGGATCATTTTTCGTCGTCGGCGTTCGATACGATTCACATTAACTCTCCGTCTCCATCTATTTTATTTTTCAGTTGAGATTTTCTTCCATGCTGGTTTGGGGGAATAACAAAAGTATAAAAGAATTTTTCCGGAAGGTGTATGGTATAAAAAATTACAGAATATTTTTTCTAGAAAATTCGAATCTTCTCACCAACGAAAACGATTTCCTGGAATTCAGGAGAACAAACACTTCTTCGAAATGTCGGTTTGCATTCATCGAGAAAAATCGTTCGCAATGTTGAAACAGAATTTCAGTATAAATATTGTAATAGTCATAAATTTGAATGATATCCACAGAAAGTATTGATTTCTTTTTATAATTGAACATGTCAGTATGTTAAACTTGCGACGTATCTCGAAAAAAGGATCATCTTTCATTCTGATTCACATTCGAGAGGATTCGAGGCTCTCTCCATCCTTATCGCTTCTGAAAATATAAACCATCGTAGGATATATATCCCACTCAGATGCATTGACGCGTCATTTCAATCCCACCAGTGACTAATTAGTCGTGCTCGCGGGAGGATTAGTGACATCTCAGTAACCCATTACAAATGTTTCCGGTGGATTATCGAGAGTGTAAGTACACGTTACAAGTAACAATTAAGTGATAGTGAAGATTATGAACTATTAATTTTGATTCGAGTTTTTAGGATTGTGAAATAAGTGATTTTATAGAGTAATTCTTTTGTATTTTTCAGCGAATGCAACAATCTCCTACTAGCATCCTAAATACACGCAGAAAATCTGAGAGAGTGTAGAGTTAGGTATTCCTCAATTTTTTATTATTTTCAAACCATTGATGTCACTCAATCGATTCATTTTTTCAAAGTGTTGAAGACAGTAGAGTGAATATATTGCTCTTGAGGGGGGACGTCGGTGAGTTTTGAAACTTTTCAGTAGAGCTAGGGACCCATTGAGCGACTTTTGATATATCATGGGATATGTTAAAAAGTGGAAAAAATCATGACCTCACCGATTTTGCCCCATACATCCCCGAAAAACGACGTTTTTCATGTTTTCAGCTACAAAAGTTTCCTCGTACCACAGTTTTCATCCGATTTACATTTTTTTTTTAATGTTCGTAAGACTCCCAGGAACAAACGTAAGTATACGTTTTATGATCCGTCAATTAGAGAATTGAAAAATCAAAAAAAAAAAAAATGAAAAAAAATTTCGACAAATTTTTTTTTTGTTCACAGCATTCGTATTATGCCGCAAAAGTCTCTGTTTTGAGTAGTTGAAGATTATAGTATTAAATAATAGATGTTCAAGAGAAAAAAAAATGGGATGAAGAAAAAGTGAATTGCGAATGATCTCACTCTTGGTTTGATCTCACTCTTGATCTGATTTGGCTCAATTATCACAATAGAGGTTTTTTGTCCCCCAAACCTTCTTCTCATCAGCTGATAGACTGCTTTCAGTTCATAGCATAATATAAATGCTATGAACAGAAAAAAAATTTTTTTTTTCATTTTTTTCGATTTTTCAATTCTCTAATTGACGGATCGTAAAACAGATATTTACGTTTGTTCCTGGGAGTCTTATGAATATTTCAAACAAAAAAAATGTAAATCGGATGAAAACTGTGGTACGAGGAAACTTTTGTAGCTGAAAACATGAAAAACTTCGTTTTTCGGGGATGTATGGGGCAAAATCGATTGGGGTCACTTTTTAACATATCCCATGATATATCAAAAATCGCACAATGGGTCCCTAGCTCTACCGAAAATTTTCAAAACTCACCGACGTTCCCCCTTAAGCTTTTGTTGCGTAGGAATAACGAAATACTACTAAATCTATTGAATTTTAGGGTAAAGATTTTTGTGTGAAATTCCATTGCAAGTGTTTATATTCGAACTTGACAGATTTATATTTTTTCCATTATTCGTTTTGTAACGAAGCTGTTGAGATACACTCAACAATTTCAAGTGATAATTACTCGATACGTTCACAATAACTTGTGAGTTGCATTCACTTTCTCATTCAGGAAAACTCCTTCTACAAAATAGAAAAAAATTATAATTTTTCACGAACAATTTTTTTTTCAATTCTCGATTTATTAATTTATAAGAAATTACCGACTGTAATGATTAGAAGGGTGAGGTGTTGCTCCGGCGGACATCCAAGCTGAGCAGCGTTGAGCTGGGTTAGTACTTGGATGGGTGACCGCTTAGGAACACCTCGCTCGCACAAAAATTGCGGACGGTAGGTACGGTGTTGCGGCATAGTGTCTCCATCTAGTCAGTGTGACAGATGGATATATTAGGGCACTGCACAATCGGCCGGCTGTGCGACTGGGGTTTTACATGGTTTTCCGTGCAGTCCTAGCTCGAATGGGGCACAGCTAAGTGTAAGACGGCCATGATACCGCAGATAACAATAAGAGGAAAAAGAAAGGAGGGGAGGCAGGCTAGAGGAGGGGTTTCAAATCGAGAATTACTTCGATAAAACCAATGAAACAGAAAAAATAAAAAAAATAAAAAAAATTTATAAGAAATTGATTCATTCTTCTTTTCTCGTTAGGTTCAATGTGAAGGAAAATGGCTCAACAGCGCGCAGGATATTCGTTGACTTCACCAAATGTTTGGGTGCCTGATGAGTGGATTGCTTCACTCCCTAGACATGTTCTTCTCATAGTCATTGCAATGGCCATCCATGATAGAGCTACACCAAACATAAATGTTTATGTTAATCTCGTTAAGGTTTCCACGATCTTGAGGACGTTCCCAGAAGGTCCCTCATTTATATTTGGCAGAGCACCACTTCCACCTCATGTAGCTCACCATTGCTGCAATTGTCCCCATAGTTGCAATCGTGTCAACAATTATTCATAAAGAAGTGGTAAGATTTTTCTTCTATCCACGGTTGTTATGATCGTGGAGGAAAATTTTCCAGTATGATCCATCCAGTAGGAAGATATTAAATATTTTGGTTATCAGAAAGGTCTCACGTATGAAACAACTTCCATAGAAAATTCTAGCGAATTCGTTAGATAAGTGTACTACATTTTAATTAAACTTTTTTCATTAGTTCTTGGCTAATTTCCATTAAAAAATATTCAATGGAAAATATTTTATCGAAAAATCAAAAGAATGTAATTTTTTATACAACTTACTCTATTGAAGGAAGTAAACAAAAATCTTGAGAGAAATTTCAGTCGAGAAAATTCCATAGAATTTTCCCCAACAATGTAATGGTGTAACTTTTTGAATAAATCATAATTTTTTCTATCTCTTCTTTTTCTAGATTCAGCTCAGACTAATGCGTTATGATCTGTTGAGGGGTTCATCATTAATTATTCCATATATTGTTCATGCGTCAAAATTGATGCTATATGAAAAATCAGTCGTTAACTATTTTAAGTTATCTCAATCATTAATATTTTCATGGCTTATTTCTTAATGAAAAAAATCATTGGATCATACGGTTGATGGATAATATCCCAATATTTCAATATTCTAATATTGTTTTTAAACTTGTATAACACAAAAAATCATGAAAATATTAAATGATTTATTCGTATGATCAAGATGCTGGGGGGTTTTTATAGCCTCATGAGTTCATATCCGTTCTCAATATATAGGGGAGGGTGGGGCAAAACGGCCCCCCTTCAATTGTCAATAACTTGTGAATGACATTGTGAAAATTCCCAGTTTCAACTTCATTTTGAAGATAATTTTTCATTCTTCAAAACGAGCTCTAACTCATCCCAATCGGATTATTGAATCGGAAAATATTGACGATTGAAGGGGGGCCGCTTTGCCCCATCCTCCCCTATAATCATTTTTTTTTATATTAAAGAGCTGTTTGTTAACTGGTTTTTTAAGTGAAAAAATTCTCATCATGCTGAAAATACTTTTGAATATTGTCATGTAATATAAGATGAAGAATTTCGATTCAAACGATTGATGAAAATTTTTGTAGGATTTTTCATATTATTTTTTCCTCATAGAATTTCAAATAACTTAAACCAGTGGAAATAATTTCTTTTTAACTGTAGATGTGAAGAATCTACAGGTTTTCCAACGTTTTTCAAATATTTCTTGTAACTGTTGACATTTATTATTAAAACATTCTCGAACAATCTTTTTGATGGAAAACTCTGAGGATACAAGACTCTTCAAATATACCTCAAGCGTCGAAAAATGTTATCGAGTATTTTCTTCCACTGTTCCTGCAAACAAAATGCTCACAGTTACTACAAAACTTACGAAACTTAGCGCTCTTGTTTTTGTTTACAACAAAGAAGCTAATGGAAAATACTTGATTATTTCAGAGATATTAAAGTATTACTGCAGCTAGTATTAATAACTTTTTTATTTTTATACAGTTACACTACGAAAGGATAATCAAAAATATCCTCATTAAGGGCAGCTGTTTGTGAAAAATCATCATCAATATCATTCCATGTATTATTTAATGGAAAAGGTGCATTTCTGATATTCTGTCTTTTATTAGAATGAGCAAAAGGATGATATTAATGATATTTTTCCAATTATTTTTTCTTGTAAGATAGATTAAGTCCAATATACTGAAAAAAAAAATCTATATGTTTTCATTTTGAGACATTTAAGGAAGAATAAAAAATAACATCTTTCCTGGAACCCCTAAAAACAAACAAAACATAGCTTTTTCATTATTTTATGTCGCGCCGTGCAATAAGTCGAGTTTTGAGCAGGCTGCGCGAAGCAGCGCACGACTTGACATAAAATATTATAGAGCACTCGGTAATAAATTTCGTTTTCAACGAATGTGTGTACAGACCTCGCCTTCGGCTCGGCCTGTAAACTACACATTCGTTGAAAACGAAATTTGTGCCCTTGTACTCTAATGTACTATTTCCCTTTCACCTACACTCGAATGTGTTGTGTTTTTGAAGTGGAGACATTGAATATTTTTTCTATGACATTCTCATGTTTTTCGTAGTAAATTAACAGAAAAATAAATATTTTATTCAGCAACTGTTGAGATAGACCATGGATATTTTCGGTATAGGAATTAACTGAATTATAATTAAAATATGTCAGTTTGTTTGACAACTAAAATGATCTAAACTTGTCTCTAAATAGTAGAGATTAATTGCTACATCAACTCATATATCAACAGCTAAATAACAGACAAGCGTAACTGCAGTGCGTTTCCTATCCACATACACTTGTCTGTTATTTAGCTATCGATGTGTGTATGATGATTTAACTCATTTTTTTAATCAAAAAAGATTATATTTTTTGAATTCACCGATATGGACGTGGATATGTCACAGATTAATTCGTTCTTCTTCATACGCATAGAACTACAATCGTGCTAATAGATTGTGGTCTCGTGTACCCAAGAAAGAGTATCAAATAGGAAGAGAGAATTGCATTAGTCATCTCTTTCTGTCTTTGTCTAATCAAACCCCCACTATGTAATCTGCTCTCGGGAACTATTCAGAAGAGAGAGAAAAAGCAGTGACATAACAAACCTCCTTTTTTCTGTTTCATGCCATTTTCACTACTCAAACTCAGTGTCTAGATTATTGTACACCTACGTCCATGATTTTCAAAGTTTTGATTGATTGTAGATGTTTTGAGGCATAAAAATAAGGATTTTTGCTTTTTTGCTTCCGAAGGGACGCATTCTTTTTGGTCGATTTTTCGATTCTCTAATTTTGGTTGCAAATGGTCTATAACGTCATGGAACGTAAAGAAATGATGTTTTTAGGGGAGTATCTGCATGTATGTGTGTGCAGATTCGAGTTTTTGGTGATTCAATTTTAGAAAATTCAACATAAATACGATGAAATTTGTAACTAAAAATTTGAAATTTCGGCTCATGATAGCTATGAATAAGCCTCGCTTTGGTGCTTCGTTTCAGCTTGATCGGTCAAGTAGTTCCTGAGATATAATCACTTGTTTAAATTTCGTTTTTCTGCAATATCTCGCCAACAACTGCACCGATTTCAATTTTTTTTTTCGAACTACTCATTTATAATCATTTATAATGATTTGTGCAAAGTTTGGAGATATTGCCGTTTATCCGTTTTTTCATAAAAAAAAAACCTTGTACGCACGATAAGTCAATGAAAAAACGAGCTAGCGACTTGAAATTCGGTATGCTGCTAGCTTTTGTAACATAGACGGTTCGTATTTTCGATGAGACCAATCGATCGACCGGTTCGCGAGATATTCAATTTTTTGTGAAAATCTATTCTGTCAAATATCTCGTCAACTACTTGACCGATGAAAAATTTTCTTTTTTCAAAATATCCGTCTCGATCGCTACTATCTAGATCATTGAAAATATATTATGACGTGTTATTTTCCGTCACAAATAGCATTTCTGTGTTCGACCGTTTCGCGTGTGGGTTTCTAATTTAAAAATCACCAGACGGGAAGTCACCAACCGACAGCGAGAGTCACGAGAGAGGTTCAGTATATTTTGTTAATTATTTTGTTTTGTATCGCCTTNTTTCAAAATATCCGTCTCGATCGCTACTATCTAGATCATTGAAAATATATTATGACGTGTTATTTTCCGTCACAAATAGCATTTCTGTGTTCGACCGTTTCGCGTGTGGGTTTCTAATTTAAAAATCACCAGACGGGAAGTCACCAACCGACAGCGAGAGTCACGAGAGAGGTTCAGTATATTTTGTTAATTATTTTGTTTTGTATCGCCTTCTGTATTGTTTGAATCGAATCTGGCGCCGACATCGTGGGGCTGAGGTGGTAACGTCTCCGGGAATCGTCGAGGGACTTCGAGACACTTCGAGTTCGTGATGAGTGCCTCATGGGTCTTTGGATTGCCAGAGGTCGCCAGCTCTCGGGCAACTCTAGGGGAAATGTGATGTAGGAGCCCGGCTGGTTCAATGTGGAAGGGGAAGTGAAGGATTTCACCAAGATCAGAAGGAGGTTGAGTTGAATCGTCCTTTGGGGACAGAATGGTCTGGAGAATGATGTGGAAGGATGTCAGAGGACATTTGGATTTATTTGATACTCTGGGATAAATTGTTTTTGATTGAATAACGTCTGAGAAGTCACTGCGCATGCGCCGACGGACTTGGTTCGGCCATGTGAGCGACAGAGTCTAGTTGTTTGGAAGCTGATTGGAGGAGTGAACGGAACGAGCGGCCAATGAGTGTAGTTGCCGCGTTTTCACGGTCCAGCGTGGTGTCGCTGGGAAAACGAACCTCACTTCCTGTTTGGTGATTTCGCCATACGTTGTGTTTGATCAATTTGCGTTAATTTCGGAGTTTTGGGGAGCCTGAAGGCGCTCTGGAAGGGGAAATATACCTGTGGAGGAAGCCCCGAGTGGATTTGGGATTATTCTGGAAATTTTGCTTTTGGCTGTTCGTTTAGTTCCAGTGGTCGTTCTGGTAATAACGACCTGGCGCTCGACTTATTTATTGTTTCAGGGTTGTCGTGCGTCGAAGGGCTACGTAGTGGATCGAGGGTTCCGTGAACCTCAGGAAATTACGTCACAATATATATCCGTCCATACAAACTTTTGGAGATATTCTCGTTTTTCTTTTTTTTTTTGTTTTCTCGTTCTTGTGCGATTGATAACTTGTGACGGAGAAACGATATTAAGTTGAAATATGGTATATATATCTCTCATAATACCAAAGGTCCGTACTTTAAATGGACGCCATCGGTGCAGTGGTGTGAAACAGATTAATTTTTTGTATATATACATTTCAATACAAGGTAAAATTTTTTTTTCCGTACTGCTTCCCACGATTTCTCGTCTGGGAATTAGTATAGCATACTTTCCAAACTTGAAAAATTGAGAATCACTACGGAAAAATATTTTCCGGGCTGCCGTTATGTGTTTTCTTTACTCACGCAGTTGGTCTGCCTCGCCTTTGGCTCGGCTCAATAACTCCGCGCGAGTAAAAAACCCCATAGCAACAGCCCTGAAATGTACTATTTTTTGAACCTCTTGTAGAGTATGTTTATTGCATTCACTGACGGTGAGCTAATATATTGAAATTATTTTTAAAAAAATTAGACGATAGCATGGATTCATGGATCATCTGACAACTCTTTCCAAGTGACGATGTGGAGATCTGGTTTAAGTGGAATTTATATTGCTTGCGAATGGAAGTATTGTTTTTGTGTGACCTGATAAGTATTTTTGATTATTACAGTCTTTCAACATGAGATACGTTAGTCAATTTACTATTATTCTTTATGCTATTTTATCCACTCGTCATTGAATGGTGATGAATGAAATGGTCGTTTATATTTCCATATACTATGGTATAAAGAAAAAAGTATAATAAGAAAAAAAGTAATGGTCATTTGCCTTCTGTCGGATAGGAGTTCTACGCCTGGTTGTTTTTTTTAGAACTTTCCACTCAAAAATCTTTTTCCCATTTTTGCTTCCAAACGGGAAGCATTGCAATCGACCTATTTTTACATTCTCTAATTCTCTTGATTGGAAACGATGTAGAATGGTCTGAAACGTAAAAAGACGAAGTTTGGGCACCATGTCTGTACGTGAACACCTCCAGGGCCAAATGTCCTTTTTGAAAACTGAAAGAATAGTGGGGTAAAATAATTCCAAAAAATCTT